AACAAAAATAACAAAATGTCAAACAGAGCGCATGCAACAATTTATTTAAATACCTCGGGCTCATCAAATTTAAGTTAACACACCCCAAGCAGGGCGCATTGCGACAGACGGCGGCGAGAGAAAAATAAAATGAAAACTCAAAATGAAAATGAAAATGAAAATTCAATTTTCCACCTAAACGCAGACACCGCATCAATTTTGAAAATACGTACGCAAGGCAAACGAACGACGATTTCCTCGGTTGGACGAGGAGCCGCACTTCCCACTCCCATTTGCAGTCGCAGTCCCGTTCCCATTCGCATTCCCATTCCCATTCCCACTCCCTCACACGGCTCTCGGGCAGGGACAGGCACTCAAAAGACAGGCAAGAAGTCAAGAGAACCACGTCGTTGTCGATGTTAAAGAGATGCAGGCGGTTGCCACTGCCAGGCAGACAAATAGAGAGCTCCCCTCCTGGCACCACAAACTACAATTCCGATTCGCCTTTTGGTCGGCTGTCAACGAGAGGCTATCCCTGAAGTAAAGATTGCCAGTTATACGTCAGCATCACACACACACACACACACACACACACACACACACACACACACACATAGACGATGTCGGTTTATGTGTGTCAATTGGTATACTTGGAGAAGAAGCTTATCGTATTATTTTGATTTATACAAAAAAATTCCATATTTGAACGACTTGTCCAAAACTCTTTGTCATCGCCCAAAAGATTCTTTTGAATTAACATTTAATTAGCTTTTATTGGCCATTAAAATTCCAATCATGATACGATAACTGTATCCACGGTACCCGCGGTATCCAGAGCCACAGTAGCCAAGTAAGTACTACACCCACCATTGGCTGTGCTGGCGCAACTTTCTACATTTCTTGGGTTTTTATTATTTTTCAGCAAGTTTATGGGGCCGACAGCGAAGTATTTATGATATTTACAACAAAAGAGCGAACGAACCAAAATTTTACTCAAATCGAAATAAAAACATACAAATTAATTAATACCAATAAACAAGGGGCGCGCTGCTATACAGCACTTGGGGGCGGGGTGGGGGCGGCGCCCTACGCATTGGTGAGTTTATGACTACGAGTCGGAGGCATCCACAGCAGTAGCAGCCAGCCTTTTGCGTGAGTGATCACGCCAGATCAGCCGCGGCCAGGCGAGGTGTGGCAAGGGGTATATGGCAGGGGGCGGGAGCGGGGGGTAACATCAGCTTGGCATCCACTTCGCTGCCAATTTAATGGCGTTTTTACAACTTGAAAGATTCGTGCCTGCCACGCCGTTTTGAGCGATGATGTTGGGGGCCACTAAATGCATACGAAATGCGGCGCAACGAATGTCATTAGAACATAAAAATGATATTAATTGCATGCGAGAGTGCAGAGTCGACTGCTACAGACCTGAGACCGAAAACCGGAGACCGGAGACCCAACTTGGAGACCAACTGCCACTGGCATGCAATAGAAACGTCAACATTTTGATGATGGAATTGAGTGGCGCACCAGTATCTTAACGCTGCGATCCACTTAAATCTGCTCTGCGCCTGCCTCACTCTTACTCTGACTAAGACTCTACTCTTTGAAGGGGACCTGGGGCATGACAGCAATGTCGTCGTCGTCGTCGTCTTCTTCGACGCATCATCTTCGCAGTCTGCAAGAGAGATCGCGTAGCGCAGATAAATAATAAAAATTAAAAATAAATTAACACCTAGTAAAGAGGCAGCCACTGCATTACTTGGGCGCTGCATTCGGTTACGGGTATGGCCATGTGTAGGGGCATGGCTATGGGTATGGCTATAGGTGTGGGTATGGGTATGGGTATGGGTATGGTCCTGTATCGCAGACAGCTCAAAAATAGCGCAAAAGTAATTAAAAACGAAAATATAAAAGCAAAACGCACACACAGTCAGTCAGCGCTGGTTCGCTCGCTCCCATTTCGTCGCATCTCCGCTTCTCTCAAAGGCGATGGCCATAAAAAATATGTTTGTCTATATTGGATTCAACAAGCGAAACGTCGCCGCCATCGCAGCCAGCAGCGCAGATCAAAGGCCCGGTTGGACCGGCAAACTGCACCCGAGCAGTCTTTCGACTGTAGCCATTATGATGATGATGCTAATGCAGTTGACACTTTATGCGACAACCAGAAAATGCAACCAGGCCGAGTCGAGCCGAGCATTACCGATCCGAGCCGATTGCGTGGCTCAGCCACTGCTGCTGCAGTGGCAGTCGTCCTATCCGCCACAACGATGAATGCCAGCCCGATAATTAAACGCAATAATATTTCAATTTAATTAGCTGGCAGCTGATAAATACCATGGGGCACTGTTTAATGCCACAAACATTGAAAGATTCATTAGTATAATATTTGGGTTATGTTAATGTGCTTTAATTTATCATGAACTGATAATGACAATTTTATGATGCTCGTGAAATTGGTTTGAAATCGACAACTGTTCATCGATTAAAAGCTTAAATATTTACAGCGTCATTAAAAACACTATAATTTTGTAATTTAACTATGTAATTAGCAACTCTAATTACGAAAATCACAGTAAATTACTTTTTACCTGACTATATTTTTATATAAAATAAATTATTTATATTCCATTTAAATATGAATGCATATTCCTCTAAAGCTAAATACGTGCATTTAATAAGCCAAATGTCATAAAAGAAATTGAAGTTTCATATTTGTAAATTTGAATGCATTTCCGAAGTAATATTGTTTTTCCACATAAGAAAACTTTTTAAACATATACTTAGATTTTATGAAGTTGTGACAGTTGAAAATTTGGATTTTGGTTTGGGTTAGAACATAAAACTTGCATTTTGAATTAAACCCGAATTTAATTAATTTAAATGCCTTATTAATCATAATGAGAAACCTTGACAAAAAAAAGTTATACCATTTGAAAATCGGTTCAGTTTTAATGCAGTTAGGATTGTGGAAAATTCAGTCAAATTACATTAATATATTTTATTTATTAATGACAACATTTCATATGCTTAACTGATTGTTCGTACTACTTGCACATTTGTAAACTATTTATTTAATCGATGAACAAGTGGAACAAATGTTTTCTGCTTATTCATTTCTTAAAAGGTTGCAAAATGGATGATTGTGGGAATATCTCGTCATTTAGCCAACTGTATGCAATTAGTTTACAATCTTTAATTGTCAGTCAAGCACTTAATTAACATACAAATACTTGCACACGCCCCACAACACTGGCTCTGCAGTGTAGCTGCAATAACGGATAAGACATATTGACAGACGAATCCTTTTATGCTACTGCGCACAGACAAACTGTCTATGGAGGCATTTCATTGAATCCAATTATCGCTGGACATGGCATAATAATTACTGTCTGCTGTCCGCACGCACACAAACTCTCTCACACACACACAAACATACGCACACAAACACAGAAGCAAGGTCGCTAGAAGCGAGTTGAGAGACATTAAGGGACGACTGCCGCTGGGTTTGACTTCGACTGGATGGTGGATTGCCTGGCCTTATTGCTTAACCAACTAAATCGCAAGTGTTCGTGGGTGCGATGTGACCAAGCAAAAGAGAAAGAGAGAGGGGGGAGAAGTGTTGGGGGCGGGCGAGAGCAAAAGGAAGGACGGCAGAGAGCGCGCCAAAGCTTACGCAAACATGAGCCGAAGGATGATGCCCAGCCACCAGCAGTAAAACAAAATTGCCACATATAAAAGCAAATAATGAAGTGAAAATGGCAACAATGTGATTACACCACAGGATGAGCCTTAATAAATTGCAAGCAGTAGCACAGCAAGAGAGAGGGGCGGAGAGAGAGAAAGAGCGGGAGAAAGACAGAGTGAGAGAGAGAGAGAGAGCGCCAGCGAAAGCGAGAGAGATTAAAGTGAGCAACTGCGACGGCGCTTTGCCCGCATGTTGCTGGCAAATGTTGCTAGCAACATGTTGCTGGCAGCTAACTTGTTGGATGCGCTCCGCTTTGCATGTGTAAGTGTGTTTAAATAAAGTGTGTGTGTGTGTGTGTGTGTGAGTGTTTGTGTTTGTCCTTGTGTGTGTTGTTGTTCGCTGCCACGCGCTTGCCTGACTTTCATTTAAGAGCCTCGAACTAAGCGCTGCGAAATATTATATGTAATTACATCAACTTCAGTTCCCCATCCAAACATATTGATTCAGCCGTTAATCTGAGATTGTCGATTGAAATGTTTCGATTGCGATAGCGAGTTACGTTGCCCAATACAATTATAATAAGTATAATAAGCAGCATTATTAATTGTGCAGCCATAATGGAATCATTTACAGCACATTATAAGCACAGGCCCAACTGGCAGCAACAACAACAATAGCAACAACAACAGCCATTTACAATAGCATCATGGGGCAGGCAGCAGCTGCGGCGCGCGATTCATGCAACATTACGACGAATTAAATTGCTTGTAATGATGATGGTGACGGCGGCAAGCAGCAACAAAATCACACACACACACACACACACACACACAAAATGTGAGACGCCATTGGGTTAAAGAGGGCTAAATGCGTGCAATCATTGTGGGTGAGTGGGCGTTTGTATGTGCGTGCGTGTGTGCTTGAGTGTGTGTGAGTGTTTGTGTGATAGTATTTGGGGGGAAGAGGGAGCACTGGGTAAATGTCAGACAGCATTTATCCATTTGTAGCTGGACGCTAGGGAGCAACAGCAGTATTTGCCGCTGGCCACACAGACGGCGTGCAAGTTATAGTAGTGTATTCCTGTATGAGCATATGAGCATATGAGCATATGAGCATATGAGTCCGTGTGGGTGTGTATTTAATGGATACACAGTTGTATCTTATCGCAAATGAAATTGTTTTCGAATCCAATATAGTCCAGTCTGGATCAAAAGTTTGCGCCTAACATTTTGGACGAGTGCAGAGAGTAATGTTTTTGGTATTGGACAGGCAGGCCTGGAAAACAACTTATTCAATTGTATTTGTTTTTTACTGGTAACCAAATCAGTTTTATTTCACTATCCGAACGCACAAAAACACAAAGAGTAATCGAACAAAAACAAAACATCATCGAGGACATTCCTTTGTTCATTTTAGCAGATATCTTTTAGCTGCCGTATTAACTTCTTCTTATTGTTATTCTTACCACTAATATATTCGACTGAAGACGACAAAGGAGAAGAACAGCAGCCACATGGAGCAGGGAGTAATTGAAGAACTGATTCACTTGCAGCTGCCCGAAATGGAAGTTGCCAACGTTGTCAATGTGCGTGACGGCAACGGCAACGGCAACGACATCGATGGCGGCAACGAAGTGTGGGCCCAGCACCAGCTGGATAATGTAAATAATCGCCAAATGGCCATCTTGCTGGATGCGCCACCAGAGCCGCCAATTGTGCTGCACCAGTTGCCGCAACCGGTGAACGTGCCGCAACGACTGCGCAAGAAACGCTGCTTTTGGACAATCACAAAGCACTTTCATGCGCAGCCGGAGAGGTGCGCTCTCCTGTCGAATGCCTGGCAAGCCGTGCAATATGTCCAGCCGGCGCAGCGCAGCGAACACTTTGCCAATTATATGTACAAGCATATGAATAGTCGAAACTATCCAAATGGTGAAGGATTGCCGAATCGCTGGGGTCACTTCTGAGTTGTTTGCATATAAGCAGAGATAAAGACAGACACTGAGACAACTAGATTAAATGTTTATAAGCCCAAATACAACTGACCAATGTGTAACTGATTTGGGAAACTCATTTAAGAACCACCCGGCCTGATATCTGTCCGAATGCCGTGAGGCCAGAGGCTTTGTGGAACCGCTTACAGACTACATGAAATTGCCAATTAATAAACGGCAAATTGCCAAATTGAAAACTGGCAAAATTCATCCACACACACAGACACACACACACTCAGATGCCTGGGCACAATCCTGGTCTGGCTGGTGAACAAAGCTCTGAGTCCCCCTCACAAAGTGTGGTTTTGCATTTGCAACGTGGTTGTAGTTTATTTGCCCATATGGATACAAATGACAATAACAATGACAATACAAAAGCCGTTGAACGAACAACTGGGCAAAGTGTAGCAAATAAATACAAAATTCAAAAGATAATTGCAATCAAAGCCACAAAATGTAGCCAAAAGGCTTATAAATTGAGGGCGTGTGGCAGCAAAGTATGCTACCACGCACACATACACCCACACGCACACACACATATATATATATATAAATATATATATGGTTACACAAATGGAAACAGAAGGTAAACGCTTTCTATGAATTGCAATAAAGCATTCAGCATCACCAAAAACAATGGCAACAGCAATGCATTTGAACACCAGCAGCAATAATAATTACAAATTTAATTGCAGGACTTTCAAATGCCCTGTTTATTTGTTGTTAGATTGCATTTCATGATAAACTAATCAAGACTTGCAAGCCTCTTGACACCGATTATGTGGCAAGCTTTTCCAAGTTACAATTTCTTGCTCCAATCCAAAATTTAATTCAGTCATGGAATTTAGCAAATAACTTTTTATGGGTTAATTAGTGGAAGTATTTTGATTTTGAAAATAGAAAATTAATCAAGAATATATAGGTAAATGTGTATATATATCACCAAATTGTTTGCTTGGCCCCATAATCTCTTTTAATCAAATCCGAACTTCATATTTGACACATAGCACAAATAAAGCAACTGCTTTATCGGATGTGTCTACAAGCTATTGTCTGTTCTTGGTCATTATAACAAGATGCACATCATCATTATTATGTGGTAATCCACACAAAACATGTTTACTGTTGTTGTTGCTACTAAAAGTTGTTTTTGGTTTTTTTTGTGGCTGCACCTCAACGATTGATATTTGATCGAGGCAAATGCAACATTGTTGTCGACGCATCTCTAATTGAATTGAATGCAAATGATTTTGAAATGGATTGCCTCATGGCTAGGGGGGGCTATGCATTCGAAACGAGAAACAAAGAAAGCAGCGGCTGCATTTCAAACGTAATTATGGCTTGTCACCCTGCAGACACGCCGGCCCCATCCCACTCCAAAACTCAGTGTCATTCATTCAGCAAGGGTTGATTAATTTACCAAATGCAGCAGCAATCTGGCCATGACAGTGGTGCTTTTACCCCACCCTCCACCGCCGCCCCCACGCTTACAGTCATTTGTCACTGCAGGACGAGGTTGTGGGTGGGGATGGGGGGTGGGTGCGGATTAGCATTGGGTTTGGGGCCAGGGTTGTTAGCCCAACAACAGTGAAAGCATGAAATGTGATTGCTTCGACTCGTCCGTCTGTCTGTCCGTCGCTACACTGTTTGTTACTTGATGGCTTTGATCTATTGCCACCACTAGCCCCACATCCACATCCACCTCCAGCTGCAGCTCCAACTCCAACTCCAATTGCAACTTCAACTGGTAGTCAATGCACAGCTTACCACAGTACCTGACTTTTATTGAGTAATTGATGTTGCCTTTGCTGTCCTTCCGTTTGCATTGTTAGTCAATTTCATTGAGCCGCCCATTAATGTCAGTTATCAATTAGCTTAATTTCAATGTCATGGCCAAATTGATTATGTTACAAGAAACTCCTCTCTTATTAAAATGCGACCTGGCAAGGCTGAAATTTCAACTAAAATTGCTGAACCTTATATTGAAAACAGCTGTTAATGCTCTTATTTAACAACAATTTTTCTTAGGTACAATACAAAGTTAAATAAAGTTTAATCAATTATGAACTAATTGCGATCCTTAACTTAAGATGGTTTGGCTTAATATTGATTTGATGACTTGAAGAATATGTAATTTGAATGGTAGCCAGATTATCGATTGCTTTGTAATTGAACGTTACAAAATAGAATGAAAACAGTTTGGTAACATTTCAACAGTTTCAAAAGTCACGTTATAAATAAGTTTTTACCCGAAAAGTGTATTCCAGTGTCGGTTCTGTTTTTGAAGTGAGTTTTTTGTGTTTATGGCGCAACGTGTGCAAAAACTTTTTCACTTACAAAACAGCTCACAAGTAAATTACTTACCTTGACTTCCACAATGCCGCCCAAGGAGAGTTGAGAGTCGGAGAGGGTCGCGTCTGGGGAATCGAAGCTTAAGACTGTGACTACGACCATTATTACCAAGTCGTGTGTGCCCCGGCAGCATATTGTGCACACACACACACACACAAAGTCAGGCCGAAGTAGATGTAACAAATTGCTGGAAAATATATGCATGTAAGTATCTAGTAAATACGGCAGCAGAAACAGCAACAGCAACAGCAACGACATCCACTGGATACGGCAAATGGCAAATGGCAAACAAAGTAAGCAACATTAAACAGGCTTTTCAGCGTAAGTAGCGTGGGTGGGCCACTTGCCAAGTGCGTTTGTCCGTTTGTTCGACTTCCTTCTGCAACTGTACTCAGGGGCAAGTTGTCTGTCTCAATACCATCAGTAGCATTAGTTAACAGCTCCTAAGGCTGACTCGAACTCGCCAACACTGCAACAGATTTCAATCCCATGACAACGCTGCAACAGATGCGGCAGCTTCACGGATTCCCATTCTTGTCTGAGTGGTGCGAAAGTCCTTTTAAGAACTGGCTGTTGCCATTGACTACCTTGTGCAAGGTGTGCATCAAATTATTAAGTGCAAAATGTTGACTTGGACTTGAACAACAGGTAAGAAGAATGCTATTCAACATTGCTATGCAGTGAAATTCAGACAGACTTTTTTTTTGTTGAATTTATGCGTATTTTTCTTGCAACTTCTGAAAGCACCATGATTATTAGCCTTCGCCAGCACCCTTTCCCGAATACGATTTAACATTGCAGTCCTAATATCTGACATCTGAATAATTCATTGCATCAATTTCAAGCTGTTGTTCATCCCATTTGAGTTCTGAGTAGTTTCCTAATAGTGTACTAACCCGATTTAAGTGCACAATATTATTCATTTCACTGCGCCTCGCAGTGAGGCACTTGATGGAATTCGGCAGAAGATGCACAGACAGACAACTCCAAAGACCAGACACACAGTGGATAGATACACCTACAAACACACACACATAGATATGGACATATACACAGATTGGCTGCCTGGCAGTCAGCAATGTTGTTGTTCTTTTTGTTGTTGTTGTCAGTGTTCAAGTAAATAGACAATGCAGCACTGCAAACACTCAGCTGGTCAGCTGTAGCTGGATAGTCGAATGCCTCAGCAGCATTTTCGACCAGCAAAACGTTTATAAATATTTTAGAAAATATTCGAAAACTTTAAATACCAGGCAGTTATAGTTTTGGCATTGGCATTGCTGTGCTGTCCCATTGCAATTCTCGTTTTATTTGTTTGCTGCAACGATTGAGTGAGAAAGCAATAAAACTATTGCAGTCGAATCGTTTTATTTGGCAAGCCATTAAATTGCATACTAAATCTCAAAATTGATGTTTAGTAAATGCTTTAGTCAGGCAGTGGAAGTGAACCATGCATTTGCCCTTTGTTATTTTAATTGATGGCAATTAGCAGAGTCCTTGGACTCCGCAAATGTATCTGTGTGCAAGTGTGTGTAGGACGAGCCATTAACACATTTTAATCTGCCGCTGGATGATGGCTCTTGTGTGGTCGCTGTGGCTCCAATGGGGGGGAGGGGACAGACGCCCAATGCCCAACGCCCGACGCTCTTAATCATCAGCATAAGCAATAATGGGAAACAATTGCCGTCTGCCGTCTGACGTCTGCTGGCAAGTCGCCTTTTGCTGCCGTTGCAATTGCGGGCAAACTTTTATTGCATCGCCATGTCAACAGCAATCGCAATCTGTGTGTCGTTGCACTTAAAATGCGAATACGAATTGTGGCGCAAAATGAAGCTACTTGTGTGCCCGACACTGATACAGATACATGCTGGCCAGAGCGAGACAGTGAGTGCGGCAGGCTGTGGCAAGAGACGAGCTCAACTTTCTGTACGACCGTCCGTCTACTGCATGCCTGCCACATTCAATTAGTGCAACAACATATCCTGTCAGCCAGCTGCTGCTGCTACTACTTCTGCTGCTGCTGTCGTATCGAGAGAGAGAGAGAGAGAGAGAGAGAGAGCTACATGAAAGGCAGTAGCAACAACAATAGCAAGAACAGGGACACAGCTACACTTAATTTTATTCATTTGACAGTTGCAACACAGGCTCACTTGCTGCCACACACAGGCTGGCACTCACACAAAACGCACACTGTCACACACTCGCCGTGCTGCACATGAATCGCTGCCACACGTATGCCAGCAATTAAGGTCATACTACCAGCAACAGCAGTAGCAACAACAAGAGCAGCCGCAGCAACTGCCTCATTTTGCATATGGGCAGAATTCTTTTTTAATTATGACATTTTATTGAGTGAACATTAATGCCAAAATGACAAAACCCTCATTGTTCGCCACTGAGCAGGTTTTTTGGGGGGGGAGTGGTTTTGGGGAGTATGCGATTTTAATGAGCGAGTCGACAGGGCTGCGAAATTCATTAATCAGGCTTGTGGCAAACGAAAAATCAAGCTTTCATCACCCTCAGCACGAGCGAAGGTAGATTAAACTCTCATGAAGGGTGATGTGAGAGGGCCATTGACATGAGAGAGAATGCCAAAAGTCAGTTAAACGAGCCCTTTTAAAAATTTAAATTTTAAATTAGAAATTTCCAATCAATGCTTGATCAATATTACCAAATTTAAAATGCAATTTTATTGAAGTAATTACTAAACACT